AAAGAATAGGTCTGAAAATGATTGCAATGCCATCATAATATAAACTGTTTTTGATTTATTAAAGAGCCCATATTACACGGTTTTCTAATCTAAGCTATAATGTTGTTTTCTCATCAAAAAGACATGCCGGAAGTTGTGTTTTGTTTCATTCACATGTTTAACACTCAAACCCTGGATATTTAAGCTTAATTCTTCTCTCAAACAGAAAATAGTTCGTTCCACCTTGTGATGTCATGTGGTAATATGGGAACAACTGTTTTTTTAAACTCCATACACCTTCACTAGAATCATTTGGATCATTTCTGCCCTGGAATTGCTAATGTCTACTCAAAAAAGGTCAAATGTAGCTGTAAACTATCGCTTCAACAGAACAGAGCATTTTGAACTGAAAGAATTACTCAGAAATGTTAATGAAACAGAATAGATACTTGCCTTAATGCTGTGGTCAATAACTGCAAACATATGCCAGTACTACACTACTACTATCTACGGCAAGGTCCACAGATCTATGCTGTGTTGTGGAAAATTGCTCAGATTAATGTATCACTTTTGGAAAAACTACAACACAATGCATTCATCTGGGATATGAAAATAATTAGTTGCATGATTGCATAAACATACAGCCATATTTTTAGCCTCATCTTCTATTTCCATTTCTACTCATTAGTCTACCGCAGTGAGGACAAACTGGGAATGATTCACGAGCACACAGACACTGGAGGTAACTTACAAAAAGTATCTGTAAAATATCGGCTAAATTATAAATACTGATCACAGATACTGATACTGGGACTGATACTGATACTTTGCAGCTGGGGGTGTGACGCTAACTGTAGGCACTGCTCTGTTTGAAGCTCTTTCGCACAAGGTAGACTTTAATCTGAGCTTTATTTTAACACAGCTTGACCATAAAGAACAGACTTAGTTGGAACTACAACAGGTGATCGGATTTGTTCTGTTCAACGAGTCTCTTTCAAATAAAATTACAGTTACAAGCTATCAGTTATTCAGTTAGTCACTCTCACCTTTGTTGTTGCAAATCAAACAAACTCGTATTGATCACAGGCTGCTGAAAATGTGATGTTTTAATAAAAAGAAATCTGAATAGCTCTTTGTCTGTGTTTGCTAATGTGTGCATTGCGTCTCCATGGTAACTACTAAACATTCCACCAATATAGATACATGTAAAACCTCTCCAACGTGGTGTCGCTTCACTGCACTCTCTAATCTACATCCATGAAACGCAAAAAGCATAGCGTGTTTCTGGTGCACATTTTACCTGACAAATGACACGCTGGTGTGAATATAAAGCGGTGAGTTTGTGGCGCATGAATCATAAGCAGAAAAGCAGAAAGAGGATTACCCTGATTCTGTTACAGTGACGCAGGAGCTTGGATCAAGGTTTTCTCCTGTTGGGAAAGCCTCAGTGAGTGGTCCTCTACTTTTTCAGTCCAAAGTGAAATCCTATAGGCCTTGCTGCAGCTTTGTGTTAATATTCGACCAGAAGGGAAGGGCGGTGCTGACAAAAAATGATCTCTTAGATTTTGCGTTTACCATTATAACAAGTCAAAAAATAGATGTCATGCAGGTGACGCCACAACATTCAGAGTTTTATCAGTGAGTGGCAAAAATACAGTGTGTCAATGGGAAGTCAGGTTACATTTTCTCAGATAAAACACAGACTGTATAAAGAAGGCGAGCAGATATAGGGGCCAAGTTGGAAAAGAGCTCCATTGAATAGGAATAGAAATTGATTTATAGAAAAAATAATGAAATAAAAACACCAAGGTCTTGTAGAGCAGGTTAATATAAACATTTTAAGACCAAAATGAGGAGCCTGACAGCAGCAGTTATGAAGAGAGGGGTGACGGTTTTTCAATACAAAGTTAAATGGAGCCGGAGTCGATGGAGTTGGAAGCGCGCCAATACTCACTTATTATTTGTAAAGCGGCGGCTACTGGGTTAGATAGGTCCATTTATATATACAGTCTACGGAAAGACCCCAAAAAAACAGATCTAAAATGTATCTAAAAAAAAAGAGTTGGTAGAGTTTAATAGTAAATATAAAACCCTACAGCGCTGCTTAATATTTAGTTTGAACTTGACATGAACTGAAAAAGTATCAGCAGAAAACCTCTTAACAAGGACACTGCACATTTTCTATTATAACAATATAGACCTTTTTCAGGTTGTAGAATGTGACTGAGAGAGCTTTACCTATTGATAACATTTGTATTTTCAATTCAATTCACAAAAGTTGAACCAGATCATTTCAACGGATTTTGCAGCTGGCGTCAACAACATTCCTTGGACTGGTGAAGTTAACTGAAAGCACTACTTTTTCTGAAGCTCTGTTACTCAAAGTTAGTAAGTTTAGACTTAACCAGAGCTTTGTTTTTACACAATCTGTGCAGAATGAACAGACTTGGTTGAAACTAGAACAGGTGAGATGATCTGTGCTGTTAAACAAGTCTCTCACACATAAAATTACTCAAACTAGCTAGGATTAGTCAACAGTTTTTTTGTTTCTTTGTTCAAAATCAAACATCAAAACAGGTCCATGAATATGAGAAAACACAATGACGCCATGTCCGATGCAGAAGTCATTTTGGTGTGCAAAAAGCAACATCAACATCATCAACAGTTATCAGCGAATTTTAACTTTTCAAAGTAACGTTTCTGATCCTCAACATTCAAAGACTTAGAGTAAGATGATGAAGTCATGTCAAAAGAATTAAATGCAAAACCTACTTCAAAATAAGAGGAGTTATCTCACAGCAGACATACAACTGTAGCTGACATGTAACTGTCAACACAAACGAGAGGCCTGACTAACTTTTTGCTTACCAGCCACTGCTCATGTGCAGAAAAGCCGAATGTAAACAAAAACAAGACTATAGTCTATATAAAAAAACATTTTTACAAACAGAGGTACATGTAGAACACCTCCAGCGTGATGCCATTGCAAAGTATCAATTAAAGCAATGCATTCAAATTGTGTTAAATGTTTGTATTGATGTCCTGGCTGAGGTTCAAGTATCACACCAAAAGGGAATGAAGAGTAAATTAACACAAAAGTGCAGAAAAATCACTCTGTACATCCTTTAATAGTTTTTATGTTCCACTATATGCTAGTTATATTCAATATCTCTCTCTTCCATCTCTACTCGGCCAGCAAGAAAACCCACGGGATCTGCCCAGACTACTTTCAAAAAGCTCTGCACTGGCCCTTAATGCACAACAAACAGGCTGGGTCAAAGTGTATCTGCACTCTCTGGACCAGGAAAATGGACAAAGGGAGAACACAGGTGAGGGGTGATATAACAAAAACTACATCGATAAATATAGGTTCATTTAGTTTAAAGGCAGCATACAGAGAGAGAATGGTAAGACTCTGTACACAGTATGGATGATTCACTGTGATGGATGGTAGCGATTCTCGGCATAAATTGTAAAATAAATCTGTGTTATTAGTAGTATTAAAAGGCCCATATTATGTCCCTTATTATGTTTTCTGATCTTTTATAATGTTGTTTCTTCATCAAACCATAACTGGAGTTGTGTTGCTTCATTCACACGTTGAACACACACTTGTATATTTAAACAGAGTTCTTCTCTCAAATGGAAAACGCTCTGTAGCACTTTGTGATGTCACACAGTGTTACAGTTTATACTCCTAAAATCATTTGGATAATTTCAGCCCTAGAATTTTCAGTTTCTACTGAACTAAAGGTAAAAAGTAGCTGTTAACTTCAAAACTACAACTTCATGACATCACAAGATGGAACAGACCATTTTGAGCTTTGGAGATGTAGACTGGAGATGTAGACTGTAATAGAGTTACTCAAACATGTGTGAATGAAAGAAAACTCAACTCCAGGTATTTGATAATGTAACAGCATTATCAAGCAGCATCAAGAAACCATTTCGCGTAAGATAACACCTTTAAACAGTTATTTCTGTATGGTTTTGACAATACTAGAAGAATAAAGTATGACCAGTTTTTGTTTGGCCTCTGTTTAGACAATGGAGGAAAAAGATTATCTATGGGGGGGCAACATAGTCTCCTCTATTAAAGACAGTAATAGGGTTAAAGTGTTATCTGGAAAAGAGGGCAGCTAATAAGGCTGCTCTTTTTTCTGCTCCTTTTCATTCATGTTTTGTATGTTTTAAGTTTACCCTGCAGAAAGGTAAATTTATCTTCTTGTATCTTATTGTACTGCTGGCATGTACTACCTAAAGATGTAATTTACTAGTTCAGAATTTTAGAAAAGCACCTATTTTTAAACCTATAGTTTAAACTGTCAGTTTACAATTAATACTTTGCAGCTGATGTTGTTAACATTTCCTGGGGGTGGAATGATAATTGTAGGCTCTGCTCTATCTGAAGGAAGCTCTGTTAGACTTTAATCTGAGCCTTATTTTAACACAGTCTGAGCACAAAAAACTGACTTAGTTGGAACTACAACGGGTGATTTGTGCTGTTAAACCGGTCTCTCTCAAATAACATTAAAGTCTCAAGCTAAACAGTATTAGCCAACAGTTTTTCTGTTAGTCACTCTCACCTTTTTCTTTAGGATATCAGACACCTAAACAGGACCATGAACCCTTGTATTGATCACAGGCTCCTGAAAATGTGTTGACAGTGTTTTCTAATGTGTGTATTGTGTTTCCATGGTACCTCCTGAACATTTCACCATAGAGACACATGTAGAACACCCACATGTTGATGTCACTGCAAAGTATCAATACCACACAGCATTATTTTCCCAACCTTACACTATTATGTATTTAAAAAGGGGCTGTACATGATTTTTAGTTAAAACCTGAAAAACAGAACTAGTTCATTTTGGCTATTCTACCCAGATCTTATTAATGCAGTGCTGCAACAACCCCTGATGGGTCCAAGCAAATAAAAATAAAGATATTAAATAGTAATTTTCCAGGGTCTTGTGTTATTGTGAAAGCATAATAAAAATGTGATGTAACATACGCGTAACTTGATGGTAACAACTGAATTTTATTATTGAAATGAACAGGTTCAGTGTGGATGTCCTTTCTAGACATTTACTGTAGATTATGTAAATTCAAGGTCACTGGAGCAAGTGCACAGAGATAAGAAATCATTTTCTCCACCTAATTTGTACAGCAATAACATAAGACTTCAGACTGTGTAGTTTAATTAAGGCATATGTGAACTTTGACTCTTTTTATGGCACTTTGAACACCCCCGATGCATGGTCCTACAACAACATAAATGATTTTCTTTGTTAACTTGTTACTTACAACTATAAAAAATTGTTCACACTTTGTTCAAAAGGTCAAAGAAAAGACATGGCTTCAAAAGAGATGCCTATGGTATAACAGTGTTGGTTTGTGCGGTGAGTTTTCTTTGTGCGTCTGTCATCAAACGCTGTACATGTCCTCGGGCAACTCTCCCAGGAGTTCATCAAGGTCATCTGCGCAAAAACACAAAAGACAAAACAAAAGCGTAATGTTAAATGTGGAAAAATCCAGTCTGCATCTGGTCCCATGTGGTGACTATTTTTAGGGCCATGGATCAGTGACAAAAAGGTAACAAAGTCAGTAGCTACCAACTCCAAACCTGCAATGAAAGTTGGTTCGTTTGGTCCACTGAATGTTAAAGGTGCATTGTGTAATTTTTCTGGTGGAGCGTCTGCTACCTACTAGATGATGAGATGTTATGTTTGCTTTGCCTGGAATGTGCCATGGTGTGACATTTACTCATTACAGGTGTTTCTATTTCTCAAAAATACAATAATGCCTTCTGTGAATAAGGGTGACTGTCCACAGATCTGAATTGTAATGTAATGTAGTGCTGTAACCTGCTACTTTCCCTTCTGACAGATAGGCTTAATCTGTACTGTGGAACATTCTAGACAAAGTAGTGACATTTCCATGGTGATAAGTAAGTAGTAGGTGCACCTTTAAGGAACATGCATGAAATACAAACATATCATCATTCAAACACTAGTGTACTTCAACACTAGAGGCAAGGTGAGTGAAATGTCAAGCCAAACCTAGCTCTGCTTAGTTTCCTGCTCTGACAAGATTAAAGTTAAAGGTTAAGGTATACTTTATTGTCCTTATAGGGGAATTTCCCCTCTGCATTTGACCCATCTTTCAATGCCGCTGGACAACCTGTGAGGAGCAGGCGGCGCTGTGGGGACCCATGTCCAGATCTTGAGCTAGACTTGCTCATATCTGACCTATGGTACATATTTTGGGTTGATGGAGGAAATCAGAATGCCCAAAGGAAACCCAAACATATTACTGTGCATATTTTTTAAACTTTACTGATTCTAAAAAAAGCCACTTATTGCACACATATCTTACTTATATGGTGCGTTTTGGATCTAAAAAAATCTTGGTTTGACCCTGCTCCAAGGTTGTGTGAGCCAGAGAGAGGCAGTGATGAGTGATTTTGTGAAAGTTGTGCCCCGAGAAGCCCTTTCCTAAGACTATTTTTTGTTGCGAGAGTTTGGTTGGCTTCAGGTCATAGTGTCTTTCACTGTCTCCAATCACCACAGACAGAAATACAGCAGAACTCAGCAAAATCCATATCTACCGAGCGACTCCACCAGTTTGATTTTACATTTTAGAATAGATGCTTAAAAATAACAAAAACAGAATGATGTAGCCAGTATCACTATGATTGAAAATATGCTGAAATATCCAACCTGAAAATCTTGATTGTTTTTACACAAATGACAGGAGAAGAAGTTTATGAAGCATGTGATGTGGTAGAATAAATAATAATTACAATTTCCTCACCCTGTAGCAAAAAATACGAATACAAAACAGAACATTTTGGATAATTAGTGCTGACAGAGGGATAGAGCTAATTTTCATTTGATATTGATAAGCCTATTGTAGTTACTTTACTATATTCAACAAGTTTAAGAAATAAAACATATTATTATAATAAGTACAAGCCTATATCAATAGATATTGATATATGAGTTGATATGCATAAAGCCTTATCTCAGCAGTTTAGGTATGCAGAAATGTGAGTATTCTCTTTTCCAGTTTGTAATAAAACAATATTGTGGATACATTCATAGCAAATTCAAGCTATATAATTTGGGGGGAAAATACCAAAACCGCCCCAACATATTGGCCCTAAAATATCGGCAGAGTTTATTGGTTACAAGTTTCTCTGGAGTTTAAACAATCAGTATCCGCAGCAGGTGAAAAACCCATACTGGTCGATATCTATTAAGAAATAAGGCTTTTATCAATTCTGAGCTGCTGTGGCACCAGGCCAAGGGATTCTAAAGGCAGTTGATAATAGAAATACATAGAAAACCACAGTGGATTTATGTAGAGCGTTATATCATGGCTGAAGTCTGAGATTTACTCGAGTCTTGAATATGAAAAACACCTCTGATTCCATTATAGGATTTTTCAATTTAACACCTGTGCAATGTGTGACCAATGCAATCACTCTGAACCTCGTATGAACTATATCTAGGAGCTGACATAAGGACACTTTAAGGCACTTGGATTTGCCAGCTAAAGTCTTGTTGAAAGTTATATTAAAAGGTTTATTTGAATATAAAGTAGTTTCCTTAACCTTGTGTGTATTGAAAAATTAAAGATAATATTGTAAGTTTATTAGGACATTTCTTCAGAACATTGCTAAACCTTTTGTTGGATGGCAAGAATTAAGCTTCATTGTAATAAAAGGACAAAGTGGGCGAGGACTGGTGAAGGCCTCTGGTTGAAGTATTAAACTAGAGCTTAAAAATGTCTTTTAGTTGGAAAGTATTGCGATTAGATTAGAAATACTACAAATTTTAAAAGTAGAATTCTGTTCAGAGTGCACATGGTAAACAACTCCAGGGGTATTTACACTGAAATATGAACAGATAAACCAATACAAAAATGCATTTCAGAACAAGTTTGCAGAGGTCTAAAGTACAGGTACAACAAGATCTTTCTATAAAAAAAGAAATTATTTAGGTCTTTGCATTATCAGTTATCTAAAAAACTGTAACTTTTGCTCTTTAATAACGGTGCCAAATCAAATTCAGTGTGATCCTGAGATATTGTGAAGTCCAATATTATATGTTACCAAAATAGCTTATATTAATAGTTTATTATTATTTCCTGCCAACTTATAATTACACCAGGTACACAGTAGTGATCTAACAGTAACTGAAATATTGTGATGTGTTATGGGAACTACATAGACCATGATCCTTTGCTCCATTTCTGAGCAGACTACATGAAGAAATATAAGTTATTTAGCACTTTTAAATCTTACTTCTACATCAAGGCATTTAAAAAAAAAAAAAAGCGTAAATGTGTAGCCTCCACAAAATATTGCAATAAATAACATATCGTGAGTTGCATATTCTGAAACTATCGTACAGAGAAATTTGGATATTGCTAAATCCCTACTTCAGTATCATACCTGCTCCCCAGCCTGAGTCCTGCTCTGCTGCTGGTGGCGTGAGGTGCTTGGTGCTTCCTCTTTGGTTCACTGGCTCTTGTTGCTCTGTGGTCCTCTCCGCTGCCCCCTCCTGGTCCTGTACCTCATCATCATCCTCATCAAAAAGCAGCTGCATCTTGGACACAGGCTCCTGGAGGACACTGGGGGTTGAGGAGAGCAGAACAGGCTCCTGGATATACAAAAATATATATAAAATTGTATTGTGAGTGGGCAGCGGACAACCGGAGCATATAATAGCGATATAATCCAACTATTGATACTTTGCAGCTGCAACATTCCCTCGGGTGTGAAGCTAACTGAAGGCCCTGCTCTGTTCAAAGCTCAGTTACTTAAATGAGCCTTTATTTGTACACAATCTTCTGTCTTGATTCTTGTGCTCACCACGGCCAGTGGGGGGAGCTGTGTGGACGACATGCAGGCTCCATCAGGGGAGTAGATTCTGAGCAGGTTGTTGGGAGTTACGTTGAGGTAGTGGTTTCGATGTGACGGAGAAAACACGCCCACCTGAAAGAATAATAAAAAATCCGGACAATTAAAGAATTTTATATTAGTCAGTACATTAAGTCACTTTAATTTACCGCTTGCCTTCTTCGGAAAGTCTTACCTGTTTGAGCAGCAGGACAGCCCCCGCCTTCAGCTCTCCAGCCCTGTCCTCCAACAGCCGACGATGCACTGTGCCCTGCATCTCCCCTAGTCCACAAAATAATAATAATACAGATTAAAATAATTCAGAATAATTTGGTATTTTGGTTCTAACAAAATCAGTGAACTTGCACAACAGGGATTGGTCGGTAAAGTGTACTTAAAGGTGCACTTCATAACTTTTTGTTTGGGGGTCTCCAGGGAGAAAAGCAAAGTGAACGTGACAAGTTTTTGTGTTTTTCCACATTTTTCTTTCACTGTGTACCTGTATATTTATTTTAGTCAAGTTGCCATTTGTTAAGAAGAAGGTTAAGAAAATTACAGGAGGTAGTGCTGTATCCTAATAAGGAATCCCTCTATCTATGTTATCAATACACAAAATTCCACATAAAATGCTGGGAAAATTAAAGTGCATATTTTTTTGACAGCTCATTTAACGATATGAAAGTTTTTTCATGCATTTTTATTTGTTAAATAATAACTGCTGTGTACATTAGATGAGTTTGGGACATGTTTACACCATGTTTGCTTGATTTGCTGCCTGGACATGTTACCCACTAGATTTCTAAAGTCCGTCCTCAACAGTTTACTTTCACCACTCACTCACATAGTTAACATGTCACTTCAATCTGGAACATTCCCAAATGCGTTGAAAACTGCGGTCATTAAGCCTCTCCTAAAGAAGAGCAGTCTTGATGCCACAGTACTGAACAATTTCAGACCCATCTCAAATCTGCCGTTTTTTGGCAAAGTCCTTGAAAAAGCTGTTTACCAACAGCTTACGAACTTTCTCCAAATGAACAACTCCTTTGATGTTTTCCAGTCAGGTTTTAGAGCCCACCACAGCACTGAGACTGCTCTTATCAAGGTGACAAATGACATCCGCCTGAACACTGATGCAGGCAAAGTCTCAGTCTTGATCCTGTTAGATCTGAGTGCTGCTTTTGACACTGTCGATCATGGGATCCTCTTACAGAGACTAGAGGACTGGGTGGGCATCTCTGGTACTGTACTAAATTGGTTCAAGTCCTATCTAGAAGACAGGAAGTATTTTGTTGAAATTGGAAACTGTGTCTCAGATGACATGGCCCTGACCTGTGGGGTGCCTCAGGGGTCAATCCTGGGCCCCCTGTTGTTCAATCTCTACATGCTGCCATTAGGCCAGTTAATAAGCAGCAATAACGTGTCGTACCACAATTATGCAGATGACACTCAGATCTACGTCTCTCTGGCAGCAGGAGACTATGGACCAGTGGAGTCACTTGGTCACTGCATCCAACAGATCAGTGTGTGGATGCAAAACAACTTTCTCCAGCTAAACTCTGACAAGACTGAAGTCATAGTGTTTGGTCCACAGAAACAAAGGGACAGTGTCAGCAGTCACCTCCAGTCTCTCGCTCTAAAACCTTCAAATCAGGCAAGAAATCTAGGGGTAATAATGGACTCAGACTTGAACTTTAACAGTCACATAAAATCAATAACATCTGCAGCCTTTTACCATCTAAAAAACATAGCAAAAATCAAAGGTTTACTGTCTAAAGCAGACTTGGAGAAACTTATCCATGCATTTGTCTCCAGTAGGTTAGACTACTGTAATGGTCTGCTCACTGGTCTCTCCAAACGAGCTGTGAGACAGCTGCAGAACATCCAGAATGCTGCAGCTCGGGTCCTTACTCGAACTAGGAAGTACGAGCACATAAGTCCTGTGCTCAGGTCTCTGCACTGGCTTCCTGTGCCTCAGAGAATAGACTTTAAAGCAGCTCTGCTTGTGTACAAGTCTCTCCATGGCCGAGCACCAAAGTACATCTGTGACATGTTAGTGTCATATGAACCATCTCGCACTCTGAGGACCTCAGGGACCGGCCTCCTGCTGGTGCCCAGAGTCAGGACTAAACAAGGGGAGTCAGCGTTTCAGGTTTATGCAGCTAAAACCTGGAACAGTCTTCCTGAACATGTGAGACAGACTCTTCTGTGACGCTGTTTAAATCCAGACTCAAAACATTTCTGTTTAACTGTGCATATAACTGAAAGGTTTTCATTCCGCACTCTTCTCTCCAATTTATGTCTCTCTTTTTTTTAATTTTAATTGTATTTCTTATTCTGTAAAGCACTTTGAATTACTTTGTGTACGAATTGTGCTATACAAATAAACTTGCCTTGCCTTGCCTAAGAGATGTGGAATTACATCTGTGTATGTCACATCTGCGGTCCATTTAAAAATTAAACTTAGCAAAAATGGTCAAACTAGAGAAATGAGAACTGAAGCCTGAAATATGCACTTTAAGAGGTTTCTGAAGGCTGCAAAAACTGCCAGTTGACAACAGTAAAAATAAACCTTTTTTTTTTTTTTTAAATGGCAGACTTGTACCTAGAGTGAAAAAACAAAACTTGGCTATTTTATGAAAAACTGGTCAATAAAATGCCCATTTTTTCTTTTCCTCAGCCACAAAAGGTCTCAAAACACTTAACTAGTGCTAGTCTCAAGTGTAGATCAATGAAGCGAATGAGCTACGGCCTCCAAATAAACACAGAAGATCAAATCAATATGTGAATCACTGCATGTAAGAGGAAGATGAGTTACAGCACAGCCCTGGAAAACCACATAAAAGATTAGATGGTGTAAGGTTATAGTTGGAATACTTCCAAAAACCATACTTTTACTTTTTTTCCCATTATATTTGACACTCTAGGAGGCTTATTTGTGTTATTTTTGTTGCAAAGGGTTGAAAAAGTAACATGTGTGGCTAATTATTGGTTCATTCTGTTGTCTTGTTTTTAAATTAAATGGACTATTTTAAAATGGTTTACTGGTATTATCATGATTTATTATTATGGTGTAAGTGGCATAAAGTAGTTTCAGTATTATCGTATCACAATATTTCTCTGTAGCAATGCATCTTGCTGTGAAATTTTTTATTGCAACAGGCCTAACTCTAACTTAAGTAAAGATTTTGACTGCTCTTCCCACAGTAAGTAAGTTAATAAATGACAGATGTTTTATGTTGATAATATAAAAAAAAGTGAACATTTGTGTTTCTTGCCCTGGTCCTTCAGAATTAAGATCAGCGTCAAATTATATATCAGAGGTCATGTTCAGACAGTTACTCTTCAAGATACTCTTACTTGAGCAGTCTTTTTCCCAAATACGTTTATTTCTTGGACACCTACTTTATAATTCTACTTTAGTAATTTTAAAGTAAAGCTACTCTTGAGTACAATTTCTGGCTCCTCTACAAAACTCTGATTACAGCAACTGGCGACACCACAAATCCCTAGACTTGGATTAAAAGTTTTTAACAATCAAACATAACTTTTTACAGCATTTGTTGAGAGGAAAATTCGGTATCTAAATCAAATAAAATGGCAACTCTTTCAAAATTTGTGTGTGGATTATAAACTGAAGATGGTAGGATTTTTCCGGCCCCTGGACGATTGAATCAACAGTCTGCAACATTTGCAACACTGATCCTCAAAGCCCAAACAAACAATTCTGCAATCCTAATTGTGTTTGGCTGAACAAAATGAGCTGGAGAAATTAAAGGGTGAAATCAACAAGTTAATAAATGTAGACAACCAATTTGAGAATTGTTTTTACAATTTGTCCTGAAATAACTTCTGTTCTATCTCTAACTCTAACAATGACAGAACACGGTATGATAAACGTTTAGCATGAGCAGCTTGAGCCTGTAGACTCATGAATGCCATCTGGCCATAAATCAGAAGTGGAAAACATTGTCCAAGTCTTTTAATTGACTACAACTGCCAATCCATGTGTCGCAATTAGAAGCCAAGAAGTTGACAAAATGTAAATATTGAAAATCAACAACTACCGAATCACTACTATAGGAATTACAGAATTACATTCATTTTATCCCCAAGGGGAAATTCTTATTGATTACTGCTGTTAAAAGTGCTTCTTACAAAATGTTTTATTTTTTTTAAACATGCAGTTTTTTTCTTAATAATAAAATGCATTTTGGTTTTCAGAAGTGAAAGAAGTTGTCTGGGTTGCTTGAGTAAAATATATTGAAAGAAAACTATTATAGAGGAATTATTGTTACCTACTTATCTATTCTTCTCATTAAATGCTGCTAAAACTATAACTTCAATTTAAAGGCGCACCATGTACTTTTCTGGTCGTGTGTCTGCAACCTTTGTGTTTCCATGGGGACCACAAGGCGACAAACCCTCCCCACCACCTGAAAAGCTGTATTGTACATTTTTAAATACACGCTTTAGGGTGACTAACTGACCAGTGGCACATGGGCACTGTCTGAACATTAACTCTCTGTCAGAAGCACTTGATGCCCACCCACTAGTGATGCCAATCTCCTGCTGTTGAATCAGTAATGAGCTCTTGTGCTGCCGGTGAGTGCAGCTTCGGCCTCTTCAGCTCTGATTATTTGAACTCTGCATGTGTCTGCAGACAGGAGGCCATGGCAACTGAACTAAAAAAGGCAATGGCAGATAGATAGAAGATAGAGAAGAGGTACAATCATTACAAAAATGTTCCTTTCTGTGGTTCTCAGCTATATGCATGCATCTTACCTTTTATTTTTGGTTGAGTAACTTAGAAACATGTGAGTACCTGACTGTATTGGAATTGTTGATGGCTATATAGATAATTTGACCAACTTTTAATGTTGACTCATTTCTAAATTACAAACCATTACATTAGTACATATGTTTATTTATTTCAGACTCAGGGTCTATATAAAAAAACAAGACATACACCACCAAAACACAGTAATTATTAATGTGTTTATCATTAATCATATACAGACGTGGGCAAAATTGTTGGCACCCCTCTGGTAATGACAGAAAGATCAGCAATGGTCACTGAAATAACTTGAAATTAATAAAAGCAATAAAATAAATACAAATTTCCTGAAATTCAATTCAAAGCTTTTGAATTGTTGTTCAACACAATTATTAAAAAAACAAACTAAAGAAACTGGTCTGGACAAAAATGATGATTACAAAAGATTGTAAATACTTGGACAATAGAGACATGCTAAACTTGGGTGTGTCCTCTAGTCTAATCTGCATCACAGGTCAGGTGTCTTCAAACTTGTCCTCAGTCAGTCTGCCTGTGTAAACGGTGACATGTTGTCATTGTGCTGTTTGGAGACATGATGGATACAACACTGAACATGGACCAGAGAAAGAGAAGAAGAGAACTGTGTCAGCAGACTAGAAAGAAAATGATAGACAAGCAGGTTAAAGATAAAGGCCATAAGACCGTCTCCAAGCAGTGTGATTACAGTTACACATGTTCTTCAGTAGTCCACAGGACTGTAGCCAACCTCCCTGGACATGGCCGCAAGAGGAACATTTATGACAAATTGAAGAGATGGATCATACGAATGGAACCAAAGAGCCCAGAACAACCTCCAAACAAATTAAATGTGAACTCGAAGGGCAAAGTACATCAATGTCAGATCGCACCATCCGTCACTGTTTGAGCCAAAGTGGACTTCATGTGGGGACACCACTGCTGAAAGTAAATCATAAAAAGTGAGACTGGAATTTGCCACAATGCATATTGACAAGCCACAAAGCTTCTGGTTGAATGTCCTTTGGACAGATGAGGCAAAACTGGAGCGCTTTGGCAAGGCACATCAGCTCGATATTCACAGACGCAAAAATGAAGCACACCAAGAAAATAACCCTGTCCCTACTGTGAAGCATGGAAGAGGCTTGGTTTTGTTCTGGGGCTGTTTTGCTGCATCTGACACAGAGTGTCTTGAATCTGTGCAAGGTACAACAAGATTATCAAGGTATTTTGGAACAAAATGTGTTGCTTAGTATTAGAAAGCTTGGTCTCAGTCGTAGGTCATGGGTCTTCCAACAGGATAATGACCTAAAACACACAGCTAAAAACACACAAGAATGGCTAAGAACATAACATTGGACTGTTCTGGAGTGTTCTTCTGTGAGCCCAGATCTCAGTCCTACTGAACATGTCTGTCTGTCTGTCTGTCTGGAGAAGGCACCCTTCAAACCTGAGACAACAAGAACAGTTTGCTCACGAGAAGTGGGTCAAAATTCCTGTTGACCAGTGCAGAAGTCTCATTGACAGTTACAGAAATCATTTGATTGCAGAGATTGTCTCAAAAAGGTGTGTAAAAAATATTAAGTTAACGATACCATCATTTTTGTCCAGGCCAGTTTCATTATTTAGTTTTTTCTATTGATTCTGTTTAACCACAGGTGAAAAGCAGTGTTTGATTTTCACTGGATAATTTTCAGTAAATGTTTATTTATTATTGCGTTTATCAGTTTCAAGTTATTTCAGTGACGATTGTTGATTTTTCTTTCATTGCCAGAGGGGTACCAACAATTTTGCCCATGTCTGTATACATTTTTACTATTACTCTTCATTAATGTTGTATTTTAAGTATTGTGAGGTACTGAGATAACAAGCTTGCTTTTCGGTTGTATTGTTGCCAGTACCTGTTCCAGGCAAAAGAGTATCATCTCCAAGGAGACAAGCAAGTGTTGGACCCTCCACCAGTAAAGTTACACAATGCACCTTTAGTATTATACTTTAATCATTGAAAGATGACAAATAATTTCCCTTACATATCAGTGTCCAAATGCATCTATGATGGCCAACCACCTCAAATTGTACATAAAAAAAAGGTAGAAATTATTAAATGTGGTGAGACTGGGAGGGGAAAACTACACTAGAACCTACAAAAGACTTTTCCAACAATTCAGATGAAGTAACATCTCCATGGAGAACAGCAAGTGCTGGCCGGCCACCACAAAAGTTACACAGTGCACCTTTAATATTGTGAGATACCAAATACAGGAATTTCCCTCATGGCTCAGTGTCCTAATGCGTCTACTATGGCCCATCTTAACACTAGAACGACCACCTTGTTGGAAGGAAAACTAAACCAGCCAGGAATTCAGACGAAGTTGCTTTTCAGTATAATTATATGTTGTATTGTGGCCAGTACCTGTTGGGTCTTTGAAAACAGCTTTGGCGTCCGTGTGAGTGGGAACAAGGCTCTTGAGCAGCACAGCCATGTTTGGCACTTTGTTTTTCACCAGCTGTTTGAGAGCGGCCTGTGAAAACACCACACAAAAGGCAATTACGGTTAGTATTGATTAACATTGTGCAGAGTGTGTGGCACATTCGAAAATAATAACACCAAACATGCCTCCACTTTATTTCTATTCCTGACTTGTGCTGTTTACAAATTGGATCAACACCTCAGCAAGATCATTAACATTGAAAGGTTTATGCTCTGTTAGCGCATTAACATTTTACCCCTTCCTCTTGTGTTAACACCCAGTTAGAAAGCAAAAGTTCATGTAAATAAGCCACAGCACTTCTTTAGTTATCGCCATGGCGTCTCCTGGGGCAACTCACATAGACCAAGAAGGTTCCATTAAGGTGATTGATGCCAGACTGTAGTGTTTATAATTACAAGCACCTCCTGTTCAGCTCTCACATTTATTCTGATTATGACAATAGACCTCCAACCGTGGCACAGTTACTACAACAGCGCCTGGATAATACAGAAGCTGATTGGCCTACATAATGACTCATTTAAAAACGGTAAACAATTTTGGTGTGACTGCGGCGCACAGCGGGATAGGGATGCTTGTGATGGAGATATGGCGTGTACCTTCCGGAGCACCATGACGACGCTGTAGGTATGGAGGAAGCAGGACGGGTTCCTCATCCAGACCCATCTCCGACTTCATGGAGGTCCAGGCGGGTCCATTGAAGTCCTCCTCCTCTGTCTGTGAGCTGGAACACTAAACATAAACAGAGACTTTAAAATTTAGATTGTCATCTAGTTTAAAAACTTGATTTCTATTAAAAAGACCCATATAACGCTGTTAAAATGTTGTTTCCTCGTCACAAACACACCTGGAGTTCTGTTTTGTTTCCTTTTCAGTTGTTTAACACAAACCCTGCATATTTATTAGGCTGTGTTCTTCTCTCAAATGAAAACAGAAAACGCACACCAAAGTTCCTGCAGAGGTGCAAATGCAAGGAACAGCAACATAAAAGTGAAAAAATGCATAGCACACTCAGATGGCTGTTGTCCAAAATATTTTATTATTTATTTCTAAACAACGTTTAGAACGATTCCTTGCCTTGGACCATGTATATGTACAGTATACTTTAGCTTTTGGACATTTTTTCACTTTTCTGTTTGAGAGCAGAACACATAAAACAGTCTGTTTCACCTTGTGATGTCATGTGGTAACACAGGGCGTGCATTGTGTTTTTAATCTCCATACACTTTCACTAGAGTCATTCGGCTCATTTCAGCCCTGGAATTGCAAATCTCTAATGAACAAAAGGTAAGAGGTAGCTGTAAGTTGAAAACTGCAGCTTCATGACATCATAAGGTGGAACAGAGCATTTGGAGCAAGACTAATAATAAAAGGGTTACTCAAACATATGTGAAAGAAACAAAACACAAATCCAGGTCTGTTTTTGAGAAGGTAACAACATGGTCATCTAACATGGCTTCAAGCTCACAATAGTGAAATTTGTACAATAAAGGACCTTTAAGGGAAATTTTTCTCATAGTTGATGCTGATTGTTTATAATCCAGAGAAACTGACGGCTAATAAGATCTATGGATATTGGACAGTGGATATTGATGTTGGAGCAGTAAATTTAATTAATTTCCCCAAATTCTGTAATTTTAAAGTTACTACAAACGCACCTGCAGTCTCTTATTTTATTGTAATAGCAGTGTAGTTAGATAGCAGTTATTGCTTCGAAGTATTAAAAACAAACAAAACAATAAAAAGTGCAAATATCAGCTCATTTCCAACCACAATGACAAGAAAAAAAAACACCCTTCTTACATATTTTCCAACATAAGTTAGTAATAATTTCTAATTTTGTGGATTTATACTAGCTCTGATAAAGATAAAGACAATTTTAAAGCTTTACAGGAAACGTCGAACTTTGACGAATCTTTGTTTTTCTTTTTCTCAGTACTGACACCTGCTCAAATGAGGTCAACTTTCTATATTAGTTAATCAATTACTATCTGGGCAGGTATTGATTTTTTGACCGCCCTAGAGGGAAGTGTAAAAGTAGAAAAGAAAGTTAGTTGCACAGGAATAAAATACATCATATTAGAGCTGCAATTAATGGGCATTTTGCTAATAGACTAAATCATCGGTCATTAAATTGTGAAACACTTGACTTTTCTCATCTGCCATTTTAACTTACTGCTCTCTGTGTTAACCTGTTCGCGCATAATTAAAATAATAACAGATAATTTCATCCACTTAGTTGATGCAGCCCTTGCCCCATTTCATTTCTGATAATGATGACAAGATAAAAGATTGCATTTCGAGATCATATTATTAGATATCAATCAGTGGCCAGTGATCAATCAATCCTAATCAAAAACATTTTAATTTAAATTTAAAAAAAACAAAAACCAAAAATACAGTATAAAATCTACTGGCTAAAGGAAAACAAATGCCCCAGTGATTATCCCAAAACCCACTTTTCACTGAAAAGTCATTATTTCATTCTCAAAAATAGACGACACATTCGTTCTACCAAGGTAACAGCAAGGTCTGAATGTCTCATGTAATCAACTCAGTCAAAGCAAATTACTGGTGCAATAGCTAGTCCTGTCACAATAAATACTTATATGGACTATCATTCAATACATGAAAGTTGTAACATTTTTTGTGGGCAATATTTATAATGTGAACATTTACTTTGCACTACTAGGAAATTTTGGTTATTTTTTGGTGATATGATGATATTTAAGCCATAAAAGGTTGAATAAATAACTTCTATGAGTTATTACAGATGCAAACTAACTACTAGAAGCCTTTCATCTTCTATTTATTTATTGCAGCTTGTGACTTAATATTGTAAATTTAGAATAGTTCTTGTGGTATAAATGTAATCTTGGGTGGCATACATTTGTATCAGTAGTATCGTTTATTATGTATATTTTCATCAGCAATAAATCGTACTTCAAAATGTGTTATTGTGACAGGCGTAGCAATGGCTGAGAAACAAAGAAACATGTCTGAAAACTTTATAGACAAGACGCTGTGTTCATATAGCTGTACCATATGTATAGACAATAAACATCCTCATATTAACATTCATAGTATTGATAAGTTCTCATTACCTGGCTTGGTGACCTGGCCACTGCTCCGTGCGCTGGTGTATTGGGAACAGAAACCACTATGTCATCCAGGCTCTGACCCTGCGGCTGAGAGGCAAAAATCCAATTATCGTATAGCACCAAGGTGGAAAAACAGACACATAACGCATAGATTTCTTTGACAGTCATTTCATTAGAGTCAACATGACAAAAGCTGGAAACAAAATGTGCTGGACAATTTATTATTATGATAGGATTACCACCACTGGGTCATTATTTAACAGTATTTATATATTGTAATATGCAGAGACGGGCAATATGTAAGCCACAGCATGTCAAATGGGTTGTTTTGAAGATATGTTAAATTATATAATCTATTATAGGAAAAAGCAGCAAAAAAGAGAGAGACTTGGGGTGTAATCTTTCAAGCAAAGCTATAAAGTAATATTTCTATATTAGTGGATTAATCTTAAAGCCCATTCATAATCCAATTGCACAATACTTGAATGTCAACAAAGGCACATATTAGCACATTTTTATGCAATAGTATTATATTTTTTTTGTAGTCTGGAGAATCTTAAACATTATCAAGGGGTTCATTTTAATTAATATTGCCCCCCATTGAAAAGTAATGTTACAGTTTGATAGATACTTTATTGATCCAGAAGGACATTTAAAGATGCAAATTTATACAGACCTGTTGCGGTAGGAGTCCAGCAGGCCCTGGGAAGCGTCTAGTTTTGGGGCGGTTTGATTCAGAGCGGGGTCTTTTCTTTGTGTTGGAGGCAGAGACCAACTGGACCAGGCGGTTTGTCAGGATGGGCGTGTGGAGGGATGATGGGGTCATAGGTTGAGAAGGCGGCGCAGAGGAGACAGACTCAAATAAGCCCCGGTGGTGTTTGGACGATACTGGCATTGACAGCGGTCCTGGTATCTGCTCTGTTCCTTTTCTTAAACATGGAGATGCAACAGTGAGGCCAGGAAAAACACCAGGACTTTGTGGACGAAGAGATGAAAGACATGGGGACTGGATAGGAGTACTAGCTGGACGAGGAATTGATTTGGCTATAGAAGGCCCTCCACTAGATGAGGTTGGTGGAGATTCATTACCAGTGAAAACGAATCGAGACAGCTTACTTATCCCACTAGGTAATGCAGTCTTTTGTGCACTTTGATTAATATTGATTGAAGTATAATTTGAAGTATTTCTTAGTCCAGTTGTTATTGTTTGATTACTAGTTATATTAGAACCGGGTTGAGAAATCTGCCTTAAACCACCACTAGTTTGGGACGTTGCAGTGCAAAGAGGTCGCAATACTTTAGCTGAAGATGGAGTCGTAACCGTGGCGACGGGAGTAGTGGATTTTACAGGCCAGCCTAATTGGTGATCAGCTTGTTCGAGATCAGCAAGGTCAATATCCCAGTCGTCAAAGTCATCCTGGGACATGCTAGGCTTCTGCAGCTCAGTATTGTTAGCAGTACTTTGTTGCACTGGTAATTTAATCTGTGCATAATTTAGTGATGAAAGAGGGGAAGAGGTGGACAGCTGCCTGAGGCTCGAAGCTACAGTGTGTCCAGCAGTGGTCTGCGAGTTATTCCTTGATGTGTTGCCTTTAGGCTGGGCGGCTGATCTCTCTCCAATTTCTTGAGGGCAATTTTTCTCGGTCTCTAGGTGAGTAACCGAGGAAGCACGTAGCGATGAGGATGACACAGCAGCTGCCACTTCAACCGGGCGGGATGATGAAGAGCAGGTACCCCAGTCTGTCCCGAGAATATCCTAGGAATTAAACATATAAAAATGCAATGAAACAGAAAGAGCTTGAATTGTACACAGTTTTTTTTATTTGTCAACTAATCATTTAAGATTATAAAGATTTACACTCCACAGCAGAATGGAAATTGCATGGAATGGATTAGCCATTATTATTATTTCTATAATTTCAAATACTACTTTGTATATATAGTTGTTTGCACGAGATCTCAATAAGTTTAGCCAGCATCATGACACGTCCTACTTTAGTCGATTAATCACACAGACGCACAGAGCAGGGCATATCTTTAGTAGACTATGCCTTTGAAAACAGGTGCAAACACTCACCTCATCATCGAAGTCCTCCTCAATGCTGAACAAGCTGCTCAATTTGCAAGCCTAAAAAATAAAAACTTTAACATGTCAAACATTAAAACGTGGTGATCAAAGGTGTGTCCTGTTTCTGTGTACACACTGAGTTAGCATGTTAGCATCGTTAGCTCAATCGGGTTTAGGTTTTCTCACTACTCACCATCACAGCGCCTAAATAGACAGATCACCTCGTTCAAACGCACGACCCTCGTTAAAACCAGTCAGAAAAAGTTATATCAGAATTGTTTGTTTTGTGACAAGTGATTACATGACCAAACGCAAAAACTTTTCTCTTGAGTGTTTGGGTCCGCGCCGCCACGTTCAAACAGGACGTAAGGACGTAACTGGATTTGGAAGAGAGTAAAGTCGCACCAAGAGAGTTCCATGCTTTCACTTTATGTTTACTTTTTAAAGTGCTTCTCTCTCTCTCTCTCTCTCTCTCTCTCTCTCTCTCTCTCCCTCTCTATCTGAAAGAGTAAAAACAAGACGATACAATAATGTTGTTTTTTGTTTTCACATAAAGCAAACTGGAACACTTTTACTATTTACTTATTATTTTTACAATGTTGTTGCATGTGGTTCTAATAACATATACATTTATACTATAACAAAATAAATTATGTCATTATTAATTATCTCATTGTAATTTCTGAATATATAAAAATAATAAATAATTGTTACGACATCTTACCACACTGTAAATAACCATCTTGACGTTCTACACATCCTCTTTGGTCAGACACATGTCAGGCCAACACCGCTATCTCGTGGTCATTCTGGTTATAACAGGTATCACTTTGCATTCTGATCTATTAATATCTTCAGCACTGGTTGGTTATATGAGCAAAACAGGCTTGTGACCGAGTGCACTAGCTAAGGACAGTTAACTTTTTAGTAACTTTAATGGCTAAAGTAAGAGGTAAGAGTGAAATGAGAGCAAGCAAGTTATAAGCTATTCAATACCTAATGTCCAGCTGTAAAGGGTGAGTAAAAGTTTTATTTTTTAGTTGTTTTATCTGCCAGTTATGCTGAAAAGATGCACTATGTAAAATTTCTGGTCAAAGGAGGGTCTGCCACCTACTTGTCTCCATGGAGATGTTAATATTTTGCCAGTATGGAGTACAACATTAAACTTATCTTTATCCTCGGAAAAAGGAGGTGATATGTTCAGGTCAGATCTGTGGGGAAACTATCCCACTATCAGTAGGAATACATGCTTTTCAAGCCTCTACCAGAAAAGTTGCATAGTGTCTAGTGTAAAAATTGACACTTTGCAGTGGCATCATGCTGAGGTTGTTCTACATGTATCTGTATGGCAGTTACCGTGGAGACATAATGTAAACATTAGCCAAAAAACTTTTAACATTGTCTGAAAACTCAAGAAAAAATACAAAATGGATTTAAACAGCACATTGTCAGGAGCCAGTGATCAATACATATGTTCATGGTCCTGTTTAGGTGTTAGGTGTTGATTTGCCAACAAAAAAGGTGGGATGACTACCTGAACAACTGTTGGCTAATGCTAACTTGTGTAATTTAATATGAGAGAGACTTGTTTAACAGCACGAATCAGTTGTTGTAGTTCCAACTAACTCATTCTTTCTAGTCAGATTGTGTAAAAACATCACAACCCCAGGAAATCTTGATGACATAATCTGCAAAGTATCATCTGAATGTATGCCTTCATGTTGGCCTATGTATGAATAAGGCTTATCTCTCTTAATACAATTGGCCTATTTTCTCAGTATGAACTTTGTTCTTGTTTTAGGTCATGTCACGTGAGAGTTTCCCCTTCACTTCCAGCTCACTGCGTTCACTCAGACTGGAGCAGGAGTTCCAGGATTGGGAGGATGCACGTCGATCTCTGGCCCACAGGAGAGTCATGAGCCGGGCTCCTTTACCCCCCGCCCCAAGACATCCTCCACGCAGGAACCAGCAGCGAATCCAGGAGGTCCGGGCTGCTCCTCCACAAGTGCGATGTAGAGACACAGCTATTCACAACACCTTTATGTGTGGAGATATGAAGGGTGTGTATGCAGTGCTCAAAGACCCTGCCATGGTCAATGCTCTGATGGAGACCGTGCATGAGGAGATGGTGTGGACTCCAGAAATGGGTTTGTATATTCTAGTTTCTCATAGAGTGTTCTGCTTTATTGGATTGTTTTTGCATTCAATGAATCAGACTGCTGCCCCCGCGACTCGACCCCGGATAAGCGCAAGAAAATGGATGGAAGCATGGATTAATTGTAGACTACTGATAAGACTTATAGTAGTTAGTTAGTCAGTAATTCATGTGTTTCAGCTTTATGTCCTGTTTGTTGCAATTTGAGTACTTTTCTGCATAAAAAACAACAACTTTTAATTGTTCAGGCTGTGGCACAACTGTATAATTTTTCATCTGCTGTGGATAAATAGCACCCTGGATAACAATTTAAATTCCAATCAAGGCTAAGCTGTAATAAGTAGGACTAATCCACACTTTGAATGTAGCTAAACATATGCATGTGCCTATTCTTAACAGGACAATTTAACTCAGTTTTGCCTTGGTTCTGCTGCGGATTTGTTTACAGTGAGTGCACAACAAATCCCCTAAAAACATTCAGGGGTGTTATCCACAAAGTTCAGGTAAATTAATGAATACATTAGAAAGGGCAGTGTAAAGTCTATCTGTACGCAAAGGAATGATCACTAGGAGGTAGTCCATTTTAGTCAGTGCAGTAAAAATGACCAAGTTTTGTTTTCAATCAGGAATGTGGACACTCAGTTCTAAAGTGAAACAGACCTCTGCCCTACGCCTGGCTGCCAGCAGGGGGCACTCTGGGTGTGTAGAGGAGCTGTTGTTCAGAGGAGCAGAGGTTGATGCTGATCCTGGAGGTAGCACAGCGCTCCATGATGCCTGTGTTGGGGGTCACTCTGTCTGTGTGCAGCTGCTGCTCGCTCACGGCGCAGATCCAGAGGTGCTGTCCGCTGATGGGTGTGCTCCCCTGCACCTGTGCAACTCCTTGCAGTCATTACAGTGAGTTTGTGTCAATATGAAACATTTTGACAGTTTGTTTTGTTTCTAATTGTTATTTTTGTATCATTTTGTCAACAATCTATTGATTAATTGTAAACTAGTCACATTTATATACAGCATTTTTCCACCTTCAAGGAACTCCAGGCACTTCACATCAAGGAACCACTCACCCATTCACTCACACCAGTATATACACACACACACACACACTAAGGGTGAGATGGGTGAAGTGTCTTGCCCAACGACACAATGACAGCATTCATCTGTGGAAGCTGGAATCACACCACCAACCTGTGGCTCAGTGGATTGACCACTCTACCAATAACGTAGAGAGCGAGTTTCAAACTGCCAACTTTCAGATGCCACAAAAATATCATGTTCACTTTTAAATTCTTATTATAATAAAAAAAATTTAGGTTTGTGAATTGTTTCAGACTGCAGTTGTTTCCTTGAGCAAGACATTTCATCATCAGTTTGTGGTTCTGATATATTAGTTTAGGAGTGACCAGAGGCAAAATATGGTTTCCACACCTTTGGCTGTAGTTACAGAAGAATGTCACTTGCCAGAGCAATGACTATATACTACCAACAGCACATCATGTTTATAGGATTTAACATGGGAGGACAATTTGAACAACATTTTTTAATTAGTTATAAACATTTTAATACTTGGTCACACTATCTAGGCATCATTTTAACAATCCATCCCTGTATCATAGTTCATAGTTGTAGTTTTATATCATAGTTGAGAAAAAAGTGTCACGTAAAAAGTGAATGGATTGTAAAATTAACAACAAAAGTGCAGAAATACTGCTTTATGCCCCTATTTCATGTATTATACACTGCAAATTTGGTTTATTATTTAGTTAAAGGGCCCATATTATTGTACTTTTTATCATGTTATAATGTTTCCTCATCAAAAACATACCTAGAGTTTTGATTTGCTTCATTCACAAACCCTGTATATTTCAGCTGGGATCTTCTCTCAAACAGACAACACTGTTATGCCCTGTGATGTGGTAATACAGGAAGAGTTCCACTGTTTTTAAACTCCATGCATGTTCACTAGAATCATTTGGATGATTTCAGCCGTGGAATTGCTGATCTCTACTGAACAAAAGATAAAAGGTAGCTGTTAGCTGGAAAACTACATCACAAAGTAGAACATATCATTTTGAGCTTTAGAGATGCAGACAGACTAATTCAGCATTACTCAAAC